GGCGAGCAAGTGCGCTGCGGGACGCTGCGGCTGTGCTGGGTACGCGCGCTCCGTGGAAGGGGATGGCGGGGACCGGCCGGCAGCGCGCCTGTAAACAGCCAACGAGTCAAGCCAAAAATTAGGGCTCGACTATGTCCCTGCGTTGAGTTTTATCTCAAGTTTTCATCTACATCGGCAAGCGAACGTGGCGTTTAAGCAGTGCAAGTGTGTAGTAGCGTTTCCCTCTGCTAAAGCAGCCCCAGGAAGCCAGCTGCCGCGCTCAGCACGGCAGCCGGGCGGTGCTCGCCCGCCTGCCTAGCGAGCAGGGGAAGGCACAGCTGCCTTGTAGCAGTTCAGGTTTGCTTGATTTTTCCACTTCTAGGGTTTTATTTTTTCTTCTCCCCGTTCATTGTGGTTGCATTTGGTACTTCAGAAGATCTTTCATGCGGTATCTTTTTTTTTTCTCTTGAAGGCACGTCAGAATTACAGGTGGAAAATGCAAAGCCAAGAAAAGTCCTTTTTTTCTTTTACGTATTACAGAATAAGGAAATACGGCCTGAATGAAGTCGCCTGTGGCACGTAAATGCTTTGAAGTTTTGCAATGGCAGAAGCTAGGTCTTCAGAAATTAAAAGATCCCGAATAAGTTTGTCACTCAGTAAAAATAAGAAAAAAAAAGGAACAACAAGAAGCGTGGAAGGTGAAGGGACACCATCTATACCTTCAGCATCCTCCTCTATTATTTCCTTTTTTAACAATGTTCCCCCTGCCAAAATTACCTGTCCCATGTGTGGGCAAATGGTGCCAAGATACAGAGTAAATGAGCACATGGATGAAACATGTCAGAGAAACCGTGGTGAGATTGGCATCATTGATTCAACACTCAACGCTTTTAGGAATGAGAGTCCCCCAGCTGCAAATGTGAACAAGAATTCCAGCTTATATTTTTCAAAAAACCTCTTAAATCTAGAAACAAGTCCTTCCAAAAGCAGTTTATTGAAAACAGAAGGGAGTGCAGTACAACAGATTAGTCCTTATTTTAGCAATAGTAGTTCAGTCTGTAGTGTTAACAGTGAACCACAGGCCCAAACAATTAGAATAGTCTCTTTGGGAAGCTTGTCATCTAAACTGTCCAGAAGACGGCATATCCAGGGAGGAAAACAGATCCTATATAAAGAGATTGACTCTTCACCTCCAGCTGTTCACAATATGTGCAAAAGTGCTGCAGCACCGGATGATGATGAGATTTATGCTGGGCATAGTTCTCAGAAAGAAAATCAGCTTGCTCAGAGAGAGCACCAGGAGCAAAATTTTTCAAAGAAGGAACCTGAATTTCAAGAAGAAATAAAAAATGGAGAAGACCTTGTAGATATTGTTCAGGTACCATTACCAGCTGATAACATTAATGGCAAAAGGTTACCAATTGGTACAAGGAGCACCAAAACAGAAAGCAGGTCTGAAGGTGTGATACTTAGTCCTGAGAAATTTGAAACGCATCTAGCCATTTGTACTTCAGCAGAGCTGACCGATAGTTTGGAAGTGAAGGCTCAGCCTCGCATTCAGGTTATTCCTTCTTCCAAGACAGAAGTGAACTGTGGTACACAAAATTGCTTTAGCAAGGGTGATGTACAGGTACTTCCCGTGGAAGTTCATGAAGACTTTAAAGATGGGATTAATCATACTTTGTCAGAAACTGTGGAAAAGGTAGAATTTCAAAATTCCATTGGGGACATTTTAGACAAAATAAATGAGGTTAGCTCTGTGCCCAGCTCTCCTGGTCACCCATATTACCTCCAGAATTTTTTAGTGGTGCTGCGAGCAGTCTTGGAGAATGAAGATGATGTCAGACTCTTTGATGAGCAAGATATGAACATTATAACCAAGTTCTGCAAATTATCAGGTATCTTTTTTTTTTTTTAATATACTGTCACATTACCTCTTGTAGCAAGAACTGTTACATAGTTTTATTTGAAGAGTGCTATACCAATGGGCAATTTAACTTGATAAATTCCTTAAGGGAAGAAGCTCCTTTTTCTCAGATGTATCCCTCCGTGGCTTCTTGTAGGTAAACTTTCCTAATGTTGCTTTAATGGAAGGTTATAAATAGTGGAGACTTCTAAGAAATCAGGAGAGAATGATTATGTATATTTGGTTTTTTGGAATACTTTTTTTACTGTTTTAATACTATTTTTTAGAATCTTAAGTCAACTTGCTGCTGCATTTAAACATGTTTCCAAGGAAGGAAACTCATAGCACAGAAAGAGAGTATCAATTAACACCAAGCTTTTGATGATTATTACGTGTGGGAATTCTACAAAATGGGGTTATGAAGAGGCCTGTGCTGGATACACAGTCCTTGAAAAAAAATACTTCTGAAGTGGCATTTGTGAGCTTTGATTCAGCACATTTACAGATGACTTCCATGCTTGGTGTGAATCCATGGTTACCCTATGATTGTTATTCAGTGTTTAGAATGCCAGTTACTAATTAAACAGTCTTTTTCTTGTAGGTTGCTTAGTACTTTTAACTCTCATTAATTTCAGTAGGACCAGTGTGTTGGAGATTTAAGCCCTCCAGATTTAGACAAGATTCAAAGCAGACATGTCTGATTCCTATACTCACATAAGTTTTACAGTAAAAGCGTGGCAGAAGTGATGCAAGTTAAAACTAACCCTCCAAATTTTTTATGTATGTTTATAACTTGTCTTGAACTGTAATTAAGAGTAGTTTTAGCAGCACTTGAGCTGCAAACTTGGGGCATCAAAATGGAAATAAGCCTATGACAACTTATACAAGAAAATTTGTGTCTCAGAGTATTGCAGGCATAACCATTTATATTGTTTTAAGCTACTATAGTAATATACAGTTGCCTGACAAAGTATTTTTAGATATATGCTCATATGAGCTCAGTTCATGCATCTGAGCTGAACATAAAGTGACAGTTGCATACATACCTGCTGGTAAAAATAAAAAAATCAGAAGCAGGCTGCACTTAATGTATTATGTTCATTGAGTTTGGCTTAACTAGCAGGCTGTAAAGTTTATCACACTAAAGAATAGTATTTCCCTGTGTGGAACTTGTGTATTTTGGTCTTTCCTCTCTGTAGATTATATTCATTTTTTCTGCACCTGTGTACAACAGGCTTTAGACTGTTTCCCCATTGCAAAGTGGAAGAAAACTGTTCTAGCTGTTCAGAGCACTTAGTCCCTTAATATTTGTTTCTATAAAGTTCCAAACAATACTGTGGATTGACACTACAGGACATTACAAAAGAGAATATCAAGGTCATGACTTGTGATTAGCAATAATGTGAATTTTTTCCAAGGCCAACAGAGGAGACTTTCAGTAAGTGTTTTTCTAATAACTTGTATAGATGTGGAGAATAATAGAATGAGGTTAGGTTAGTGTATTGGCATCACAAGGTTTTTAACACAGGATACTGAGTGACAAAAATAGAGAAGCGTTGGCTTGAGCTTTTTAGGAAGAAATATAGCCCTGATAAGTAGTTCACAATCTCAGTTCTTTAAAAAAGTTGAGTGAGTGCATATCTGTTTCTCTGAAGTACTTAAACTGTGGTGAACACTCTCAGAAATGTCTTTTTTGACTTAAGATCTGCTTCCAAAATTTAGCAGCTAGAAAGGACCATATGAACATTCTTCATTTGCTGTAGTGGAAAAGTCAGCTGAGCTGACTCAAACCACCTTAAGAGATAGTTGCTAAAAAGGTGAAGAAACTCCAGAGGAAGAAGTAGGGCTCTAAACTTACACAGGTATTTCTGCAGTGGTTACCTGGTCACAGTTAAGCTCTTACAGATTATATTGTAATAATTACAACTATGCAGTAACACCAAACATTTAAAAAAATTAAAGAATAATATTAACACAAGTTACGAGAATACCATAAGATGAGATCATAACATAGAACTGTATTTGTCAGGGAGCAGCAAAAGCAGACTGCTCTGCATGGGAAGATGAGCCAGGAGCCAAAGGGGACAGCAGGGCAGGCAGGGGACAGATCCTCTCCTCACCTGCAAGGGGCACAAGCCCACATTGCCCAAAGAAGAAGAGCAGAGTGGATCCAGTGCCAGTACTGCGGTCAGCCATGCTCCAGTGGTGGCAGGTCTTCAGGCAAGTCCATAGTGACGAGGCAAGTGCAAGGTGAAGCCAAGTAGCAAGGTAGCTGCCTAGGCACTAGCATGCCACAGCAGAGCTTAGGCAAGAGCACATGCCACCGGCCTGAGCTTAAATACAGCTCCCGAGCAAATGGGTGGAGGCCTTGACAAAGCCTTGCACAGCTCTTCCCAGCAGCCTGAGCCCAGCTTACACAGCTGCACCATGTCAGAGCTGACCTTGAACACAAGTAGCCAAACCTGTGGGGGCTGGGGTGGGGTTGCAGAGCCTATTGGTGCACTCAAGGCCATAAGAATATTAAAAAAGTTAACTTTCTCCAGCTAAATGTGTATACAGTGACATCTTGGAGCTTGATAATGCCTTGTTTATGTTGTGATAGCTAAAACAGGAATATATAAAGAAAGAATGGAATGTAAGCAACAAAACTCGTTATTGGCTCTCTGAGGCAAGCAGTAGATGCGTATCATTTACATCCAAAGAAGATCTAGGAATAAACTTACAGTTCGGTCATTAGTGGATGCAGGCTTTGGCTACTTTGACAAATACTAAAAGAGATGTTCAAGATACAGCTTCCTTATTTCCACACTCCCTTCTCTGGATGAGTACAACACTGATCAGTAATAGCAACTTGTTCTGTTAAATAAAGGAAGTGCTTGTTTCTCTTTCAGTAGTGTGATTTCAGTATTCCCCTCTCACAGGCGTTCAGAATACAGAAAGAATTATTGCAAAGTGGTGCTGATAAATCCATGTCTGCACTGACTGCTAGAGTCACAAATAAAACAATCTCTCTTTGCAGGGTAGGAAAAATGCAATGATTCCAGCTATGAGAAGTGATCGGGTAGCATTAAGTGAACAGATAATGAATTCTGGACAAGTGACAGATGGATGTCTTTACCTTCAAGAAATCTTAGACAGAATACTTTAAAAGTTCAGGTAGATGGGTTATCTGTTCCACATTAGAAGTTTCTACCCAAGGAAGTGTTGTCTTTTCAGGTATCATAACAAAAAACCCCACACATGTGCTTAATACTATAAAGTTGCTTGAACATAGATATTCTCCAGTATTTCATTATTTTCTGCTAAAATGTCTACCATTCTTCAGTGAGTTGTCTCTAATGTTTATTATGAAAGGAATGATATTTTTAGAAGGATTAAATTTGAAGCAATCCTTCCTTCCTTCCTGCCCAGTTTTCTCAAAAGTGGATGGCCTTTATGTTGGATGTAGAGCACTGACAATTTTTTAAGTACTGGAAACAGTAAATAAAAGTAGGGAAAAGCAGAGGTATATCCATAACAAGTAATCTGCACTGCAATGT